GAGAGGGCTGTGAAGAACATCTCAGCCAGGGAGAGACAGAGGTCTTAAGGTAACGTGTGTGATCTCTGAGATTTTGTTCCATGTCCAAATTACTTAAATTTTTGCCAGTGTTAGAGTAGGGTTTATAAGTGGTGATTGACATAATTTTGGTCTCAATAAAACTCATGTTAAATTTCTCGTCTGTGTCAATTGTTGAATCCTCTTAGCCTTTTGGACATAGTGGCTGACAACCGTTTTCATAATTAATGACAGTCATAGAAAGTACTCTCCAAGTCAAGCAATGTTTCTTGCCTCGTTGCTTGATATAGTCTCAATGGTCAAAGGCAGATGGTGGCAGCGTATTTAATCCTTGTGTTAGCATTTCCTTGTTGGCAGTGTACTTTGTAGTCCCGTGTAACCATCATATGTCAGCCCATAACAGTGTTACCAAGTGCAACCAATGGGGAAGTGTTACTCAGGATAAGTAGTGTTTACATTATTAGTTTAGTAACCATTATAGTGGTGACACATTATAGTGGTGTTACAAAAGGGCGGTGTTACAACACCCCCAGTACTACATCCCCCAGTACTACACCCCAGTACTACACCCCCAGTACTACACCCCCAGTACTACACCCCCCAGGACTACACCCCCCAGTACTACAGCCCAGTACTACACCCCCCAGGACTACACCCCCCAGTACTACAGCCCAGTACTACACCCCCCAGGACTACACCCCCAGTACTACAGCCCAGTACTACACCCCCCAGGACTACACCCCCCAGTACTACAGCCCAGTACTACACCCCAGTACTACACCTCAATACTACACTCCAGTTCTACACCCCAGTAATATACCCCCAGTACTACACCCCAGTACAACACCCACAGTACTACACCCCAGTAATACACCCCAGTATAACACCCCCAGTACTACATCCCCGTACTACACTCTCAGTACACACCCCCAGTACTACACCCTAGTACTACACCTCAGTACTACACCCCAGTACTACACCCCAGTAATATACCCCAGTAATATACCCCCAGTACTACACCCCAGTACTACAACCCAGTAATATACCCCCAGTACTACAACCCAGTAATATACCCCCAGTACTACACCCCAGTACTACATCTCTGTGATACACCGGCCAGTACTACAACCGCAGTACTACACCCCAGTACTACACCCCGGTACACACATGAGGTGTGCAGTTCTCCCGCTCATCTTATCTAAGGCCTATCCTGAGGTTATCTTGAGATGATATCGGGGGTAAGTGTCCCCGCGGCCCGGTCCTCAACCCGGCCTCCACCCCCAGGAAGCAGCCCGTAGCAGCTGTCTAACTCCCAGGTACCTATTTACTGGTAGGTAACAGGGGCATCAGGGTGAAAGAAACATTTTGCTCATTTATCTCCGCCACCACCGGGGATCGAACCCGGAACCCCAGGACTACGAATATTTGTACAAATTAAGGCACGAATTTGATGTGTTTGATACATAGGCATCGATGATAGGTTAGGTGGGTTGCTTGGGTTGGTCGTAATGAGCTGTCCCAAGACTCATGTGAAAGTTTTCCTTTATGGAGAGAGAGAGAGAGAGAGAGAGAGAGAGAGAGAGAGAGAGAGAGAGAGAGAGAGAGAGAGAGAGAGAGAGAGAGAGAGAGAGAGAGAGAGAGAGAGAGAGAAGAGAGAGAAGAGAGAGAGAGAGAGAGAGAGAGAGAGAGAGAGAGAGAGAGAGAGAGAGAGAGAGAGAGAGACAGAGAGAGAGAGAGAGAGAGAGAGAGAGAGAGAGAGAGAGAGAGAGAGAGAGAGAGAGAGAGAGAGAGAGAGAGAGAGAGAGAGAGAGAGACAGAGAGAGAGAGAGAGAGAGAGAGAGAGAGAGAGAGAGAGAGAGAGAGAGAGAGAGAGAGAGAGAGAGAGAGAGAGAGAGAGAGAGAGAGAGAGAGAGAGAGAGAGAGAGAGAGAGAGAGAGAGAGAGAGAGAGAGAGAGAGAGAGAGAGAGAGAGAGAGAGAGAGAGAGAGAGAGAGAGAGAGAGAGAGAGAGAGAGAGAGAGAGAGAGAGAGAGAGAGAGAGAGAGAGAGAGAGAGAGAGAGAGAGAGAGAGAGAGATGACTCCAAACAAAATATTAGACTAATATTATCCATCTCTTGGTTAATAGCGACGGCTGCCACCAGCGGGGAATCACTAACTACCCAACACGTAATTACCACGTCACAGACGGTGTAATTGAGTGATTAATGAGACGATAAATAGGTAACATGGCGTGGAGAAGTTGACAATTTAAGGGGGTTTAACATGGAGCATAATACAGCACTGCAACAGTTAGCTAAATAGGGTGGTAATGGGGTCAATAGCTTAGTATCTCAGCGAATGTAATGGGGAATAAATTAATAGTTGGTAAGATAACAAGTTGTATAGGAAGGTCTGCTGTACGCTATGTTGATATCTGCCATTGTATCATGGTGGTTGGCTGTTACGTTATCAGTCACGGTGTCAGGCTGTTACGTTATCTGTCACGATAGCCTGACGATAGCCGGACGTGATGCTGGTCATCGTCAGTCACGGCACTCACACGTCATGTCTCACATCACGACGACGACGTCTCAGACCTCCACGACGTAAATATGTATTGTTACAGTGTTGGACGACCTCACAGTGCTCCCAGGCTCGTCAGGTGGAGCAGGTGTGGGACATTAATTAGTGTAGTGGCAGGTGTGTGCTTCCCTTCCCTGGGTACGGGTTCTCATGGGTACACCAGCACACACCAGTACACACCAGTACTACACCCCAGTACTGGTGTGGTACCAGCACACACCACCATCACCACTGCTTCACTAACTACCACCACAACCACCACCACTGCGACACTAACTACCACCACAACCACCACCACTGCGACACTAACTACCACCACAACCACCACCACTGCGACACTAACTACCACCACAGCCACCACCACTGCGACACTAACTACCACCACAACCACCACCACTGCGACACTACCACCACAGCCACCACCACTGCGACACTAACTACCACCACAACCACCACCACTGCGACACTACCACCACCACAGCCACCACCACTGCGACACTACCACCACCACAACCACCACCACTGCGACACTACCACCACCACCACTGCGACACTACCACCACCACCACTGCGACACTACCACCACCACAACCACCACCACTGCGACACTACCACCACCACCACTGCGACACTACCACCACCACCACTGCGACACTACCACCACCACCACTGCGACACTACCACCACCACCACTGCGACACTACCACCACCACAACCACCACCACTGCGACACTACCACCACCACCACTGCGACACTACCACCACCACAACCACCACCACTGCGACACTACCACCACCACCACTGCGACACTACCACCACCACAACCACCACCACTGCGACACTACCACCACCACCACTGCGACACTACCACCACCACAACCACCACCACTGCGACACTACCACCACCACCACTGCGACACTACCACCACCACCACTGCGACACTACCACCACCACAACCACCACCACTGTGACACTACCACCACCACCACTGCGACACTACCACCACCACAACCACCACCACTTCGACACTACCACCACCACCACTGCGACACTACCACCACGACAACCACCACCACTGCGACACTACCACCACCACCACTGCGACACTACCACCACCACCACTGCGACACTACCACCACCACCACTGCGACACTACCACCACCACAACCACCACCACTGCGACACTACCACCACCACCACTGCGACACTACCACCACCACAACCACCACCACTGCGACACTACCACCACCACCACTGCGACACTACCACCACCACAACCACCACCACTGCGACACTACCACCACCACCACTGCGACACTACCACCACCACAACCACCACCACTGCGACACTACCACCACCACAACCCACCACCACTGCGACACTACCACCACCACCACTGCGACACTACCACCACCACCACTGCGACACTACCACCACCACAACCACCACCACTGCGACACTACCACCACCACCACTGCGACACTTCCACCACCACAACCACCACCACTGCGACACTACCACCACCACCACTGCGACACTACCACCACCACCACTGCGACACTACCACCACCACAACCACCACCACTGCGACACTACCACCACCACCACTGCGACACTACCACCACCACCACTGCGACACTACCACCACCACAACCACCACCACTGCGACACTACCACCACCACCACTGCGACACTACCACCACCACAGCCACCACCACTGCGACACTACCACCACCACCACTGCGACACTACCACCACCACAGTCACCACCACTGCGACACTACCACCACCACAGTCACCACCACTGCGACACTACCACCACCACAGTCACCACCACTGCGACACTACCACCACCACAGTCACCACCACTGCGACACTACCACCACCACCACTGCGACACTACCACCACCACCACTGCGACACTACCACCACCACAACCACCACCACTGCGACACTACCACCACCACCACTGCGACACTTCCACCACCACAACCACCACCACTGCGACACTACCACCACCACCACTGCGACACTACCACCACCACCACTGCGACACTACCACCACCACAACCACCACCACTGCGACACTACCACCACCACCACTGCGACACTACCACCACCACCACTGCGACACTACCACCACCACAGCCACCACCACTGCGTCACTCACATCTTAACATCCAGCCATCTTTAACCACCTGCAAATCTTGCTTCCCTCTGTCCACTTTGGTAGAGCGACGGCCTCGCTTCTTTCAGGTCTGTGTTCAATCCCCCGACAGATCAAAATGGATCGGGTACCATTCCATTCTTTGGTCCTACCTCAGCTCCTTGTCCTCATATCCCTCCCCAGTACTACATAGTCATACCAGCTGTGCCACCTTCTCCTCATAAATATCTTACGCCCCTCTTGCCCTGCAGGTACATCCACAGCAAGGAGAAGCCCTTCAAGTGCGCCGACTGCGGCAAGGGCTTCTGCCAGAGCCGCACCCTCGCCGTCCACCGCATCCTGCACATGGAGGAGTCCCCGCACAAGTGCTCTACCTGCGGCAGGAGCTTCAACCAGCGGAGCAACCTCAAGACCCACCTCCTTACACACACCGACATCAAGCCTTACACCTGCCCTCAGTGTGACAAGGTCAGACCTGCTCCCAGTGTGACAAGGTCAGACCTGCCCCCAGTGTGCCAAGGTCAGACCTGCCCCCAGTGTGACAAGGTCAGACCTGCCCCCAGTGTGACAAGGTCAGACCTGCTCCCAGTGTGATAAGGTCAGACCTGCCCCCAGTGTGACAAGGTCAGACCTGCCCCCAGTGTGACAAGGTCAGACCTGCTCCCAGTGTGACAAGGTCAGACCTGCTCCCAGTGTGACAAGGTCAGACCTGCCCCCAGTGTGACAAGGTCAGACACACTGTAACTTGATGTCTCGACGTCACAGATCAATTCAAGCCATGTGGAGGATGCGAACTTGCACTCTAGGTACTCTCAGGCACACTCCTTAAACCACTGGACTTCAGCACTCTAGAAGTAATCTAACATGGGACTCAACTGAATCTTCTAGGGGGGTCATCACACTGTGGTGTGGTGCCTCACACTGTGGTGTGGTACCTCACACTGTGGTGTGGTGCCTCACACTGTGGTGTGGTGCCTCACACTGTGGTGTGGTGCCTCATACTGTGGTGTGGTACCTCACACTGTGGTGTGGTGCCTCACACTGTGGTGTGGTGCCTCACACTGTGGTGTGGTGCCTCATACTGTGGTGTGGTGCCTCATACTGTGGTGTGGTGCCTCACACTGTGGTGTGGTGCCTCATACTGTGGTGTGGTACCTCACACTGTGGTGTGGTGCCTCACACTGTGGTGTGGTGCCTCATACTGTGGTGTGGTACCTCACACACTGTGGTGTGGGGCCTCACACACTGTGGTGTGGTGCCTCACACACTGTGGTGTGGTGCCTCACACTGTGGTGTGGTGCCTCACACACTGTGGTGTGGTACCTCACACTGTGGTGTGGTGCCTCATACTGTGGTGTGGTACCTCACACTGTGGTGTGGTACCTCACACACTGTGGTGTGGTGCCTCACACACTGTGGTGTGGTGCCTCATACTGTGGTGTGGTACCTCACACTGTGGTGTGGTACCTCACACACTGTGGTGTGGTGCCTCATACTATGGTGTGGTACCTCACACTGTGGTGTGGTGCCTCACACTGTGGTGTGGTACCTCACACTGTGGTGTGGTGCCTCATACTATGGTGTGGTACCTCACACTGTGGTGTGGTACCTCACACTGTGGTGTGGTACCTCACACTGTGGTGTGGTACCTCACACACTGTGGTGTGGTGCCTCATACTATGGTGTGGTACCTCACACTGTGGTGTGGTGCCTCACACTGTGGTGTGGTACCTCACACTGTGGTGTGGTGCCTCACACTGTGGTGTGGTGCCTCACACTGTGGTGTGGTGCCTCACAATGTGGTGTGGTGCCTCACACTGTGGTGTGGTACCTCACACTGTGGTGTGGTGCCTCACACTGTGGTGTGGTGCCTCACACTGTGGTGTGGTGCCTCACACTGTGGTGTGGTGCCTCACACTGTGGTGTGGTACCTCACACTGTGGTGTGGTACCTCACACACTGTGGTGTGGTACCTCACACTGTGGTGTGGTACCTCACACACTGTGGTGTGGTGCCTCACACTGTGGTGTGGTACCTCACACTGTGGTGTGGTACCTCACACTGTGGTGTGGTACCTCACACTGTGGTGTGGTGCCTCACACTGTGGTGTGGTGCCTCACACTGTGGTGTGGTACCTCACACTGTGGTGTGGTACCTCACACTGTGGTGTGGTACCTCACACTGTGGTGTGGTGCCTCACACTGTGGTGTGGTGCCTCACACTGTGGTGTGGTACCTCACACTGTGGTGTGGTACCTCACACTGTGGTGTGGTGCCTCACACTGTGGTGTGGTGCCTCACACTGTGGTGTGGTACCTCACACTGTGGTGTGGTACCTCACACTGTGGTGTGGTACCTCACACTGTGGTGTGGTGCCTCACACTGTGGTGTGGTACCTCACACTGTGGTGTGGTACCTCACACACTGTGGTGTGGTGCCTCACACTGTGGTGTGGTGCCTCACACTGTGGTGTGGTACCTCACACTGTGGTGTGGTGCCTCACACTGTGGTGTGGTACCTCACACTGTGGTGTGGTACCTCACACTGTGGTGTGGTGCCTCACACTGTGGTGTGGTACCTCACACACTGTGGTGTGGTACCTCATACTGTGGTGTGGTACCTCACACTCTTGAATGGAAGAGACGTTCCCCCCTTCCCCACGATCACTCCACATGCACAGAGTAATGCAGATTAACGTGATGAATCCCCCTCAGTGAATTCAGGTGAATCCCAGATTATATTAATTATAGCATATCATGGTTCAGTGGTTTAATGCGTGTGCTTGGGAGTGTCCAGGGCGCGGCTTGGACCACCCCTCATGGCTCAAACTAATTTTATTATTATTATTATTATTATTAATATTTTTATTATTATTATCATTATTATTATTATTATTATTTAAATAAAAAAGTTTATCCATAAGTGTTGCACATTAATAATTAGGAAAGTTTACTAACAAAATTATAGTACATAGATAAGAATCACAATAAAAACATATAACGTAGAAATAAGAATGATAATAATAATGATAATAATAATAATAATTATAATTATTGTTATTTATTATTATTATTATTATTATTAATATTGCCATCGGTAACTGTCAAGTTACAACCTTACTGACACACTGCAAGTATTGATCACAACAACATGAAGGAGTCATTGTAAGTCTGGGTCGGTCACCACACTCAACTTGGCTACTGGAAAATAGTATTATATATATATATATATATATATATATATATATATATATATATATATATATATATATATATATATATATATATATATATATATATATATATATATATATAATCCATTTTCTAGTACAAATGGAGTTAAAGCAAAGGTCCCAAGAGTTAAGTCACTCCTGGCTTCAAATTAACTTGAAGTTGGTGGATATGGAATCAAATGGCCACATCTTCGGCCGCGGGCACTAACTCGTCTGGTAATTAATATCTTGCGCTAACTCTGCCGTTGTTGTGGTCTCCCGCGCAGGTATTCCGGCGCAACTGTGACTTGCGTCGCCACGCCCTCACACACAACCTGACCTCGCCTCTTGACCTCGACCTCAGCTCCCTGCCGCCGACCTCGTCTGATGTCTCCCTCCTCGGCCTCGACCTGCCCTCGCCCACCGCCGCCTCCCTCCACCACCTTCACCACCACCATCACCACCACCAGCTCTCACCGCCCGGGTCTTCAGCTGCTGCAGGAGACGAGGAGACAGAGAAGGAAGTGACGCTTGCCGCCGCTGCTGCTGCTGCTGCCGCTGCTGCTGTTGCCGCCGCCGCCCGCGCCTACAGCAGCAGCAGCGACGAGGAAGAGGCGGCCAGAGCTGGCAAACGCTCCAAGGTAGGTCGTCTTGCTATCTTAAAATATTATTTTTAAGGCACCACCTTCATTTGCACTTAATTTAAGTTACACGATGGAGCGTAATTCTCCACTTCTTGAAGGCTTCAGTGTCACACCAACCATCACAGCACTCGGGAGTTGTAGTCCTAAGGGCCCGGGTTCGATTCCCGGCGGAGGCGGAAACAAATGGGCAGCGTTTATTTCACCCTGATGATCCTGTTCACCTCGCAGTAAATAGGTATCTGGAAGTTAGACAGCGGCTATAGGCTGCTTCCTGCGTGTGTGTGTGTGCTCGTGTTAGAGATAAATATATGTAGTAGGATTTTTAGAGGAAAAATAGATCGGTTAGAAAAGCGGGGTCCAAGAGCTAATAGCTCGATTCTGCAGACACAAATAGTAAATACAGGGAAGCCGCAGGTTTCATCAGCCGTGTAGAGTACATGAAGCCTCACACATCTGGACTATATGTAGTAATTACATGTGAACATTAATTTAGAGGACGTGAGACTAATGACTGGCACCAACGAGCCATTTAATTACATGATTCACCAGTTTCAATTGGCTGTGGACATCGATCTTTATTTCATAGTTTCGGGTTATATATATTTATCATTTATACTTCACAGATAGATCAGGCCTTTGGCGACCCTGCTGGTGTTGGGTATGACGACCTCGACGACGATGACGAGGATGACGACGAGGTCGACTTCGGCAAGGACGACCTGTTGGACGACGACGATGACGACGACAGTAACCACTCTAGCCCCCCGACCCTCCTGGGCAGGTTCCGTTCTGAAGCTCAGAAGGAACCCCTGAACCTCGGGGCGTCCACCTCCGCCTCCCTGGCCTCCTTCAGCATCGCCTCCATCATAGGAGGCGCGGATTAACTTCCGTTATTAATATACGTGTGTGTACAATAACCTATTGTGAGTCCCAGACCATAAATACGTCCCATTCCAGAGTTATGGCAGATAGGAGAGTGAAGGATAAGTGTGGTCACTTCTCGAGTGGTGCAGTGTAGCTCGTGAGGAACCCCTAAGTGGTCCTTTCATTTTAAGTGGATTTAAGTGAAATGAATTTAATCCAAGTGGATTCAAGAAGACTTTTGTAAATCACCTTGATATTTTCAGACTTTGAGCTGGTCTTTTAGAATCGAGTGGTTACTAGCGGCTGGCAGCGATCTCTGGTATTCCTGAGAAGTTTACAGTAAGTGTAAAGTGGCCCCCAAGACTATGCCTCCAGTTGGTCCAACGTTCAGAACGGAACCGTGAATGTTGAGGCGACACCGATGATGAGACAAACTAACGCTGTACGTCTGCTCCCTCACTCCACCAACTCCCTCTGGAGTTGGTGACGATGACGCAGGGACCGTCAGTAGCGAGGGAGAGGTCCTGCCACGAGCATCTAGTCACGTGACGTAGGGACGCCTCTGGAGATGGGGCGCCGCCACTGACGGCCGTCACTCTAGTGGGCGTATTTAGCAAACTGTTTTCAAGGCGGAAGACTGTGTTATGGCCGCCGCTGATTGCCCCAAGCAGCACTGGTCTCCCCCACAATCTCTACCCCTCATACCAGTCTCCCAAGAGCCCTCTCCTCCAGAGAGTGACAACACCACCTCCGTCACACCTTTCTGTCTCCCGTGGCCTCAGGATATGTTGCCAGTGGCGGTATCCGGCTGCCAGCACCTCTTGCAACCTGCCTCACGGGTTGCTACGGTACACTGACGCCGCCCGTTGCTCGTGCTGGATACAGGTCAAAGAATAATACTAACATTTTGGAATAAATTATGAGGTGTACATATATATATTGCAGTTCGCCAGGGCAGTGTTGATGGTTGCTATGCCAAAGAGTTTTCGAACCCGAGTAGTGTGTATTTTGTTATTGATGGCTTAGCGCTGTTGTTGCCATAGTGATTCTAGAGGTTGTACTCGGGAGCTGGTTTTGTCAGAGTGCTTCCAGGAGGATATACCAAAGCCTTGGTGTTGTCAAAGTGCTTTCAAGAAGTAGTTCTCAGCCGTGAACCACCGTAAGCGAGTGTTCAAAGCTTCGACGGTGAGTTTGAATAGACCATTATCTCCCGTGTGAGCCACCTGGAGACTGATGCACCGTTCTGGCAGTAGATGGGCGAGTCATGGTGTGTTGTGTGTTCAGGTCCTGGTGGCGGTGCTCTTGTGCAGTCTGCATGGTCCGTAATCGGTCTCACATCATCCCCCTGAGAGCTCGAGCAATGTTAAATATCACACCTCTGATCCTTCCTCGGGTAATCGGATCACCCGCGCCGGTAGGATCGAGTTAGCTGTGTTGTTCGCAAAAGCTATGGGGCCTCTACACATTTATTTTGTGAATGTTCGGGATGTTTGAAGCTATATTCTCTTTCAAAGTGTGTACACAAGATCGCCTCAGCGTGAGTTGTAGGGGGGTTGAGCGCTGCTGTCTTGTGTAACATACCTCAGTACCTCAGCATAATTTATTGTTGTTGTTTCAGTATTGCATATTGTGAATATTCTGAGCCCGACCTTCCGTTTAGTGGCGACAGTTTCCTTGTGTATATGTGTGTGTGTGTTTGTGTGCGTTGGACGATCCTCTTCGCGCTCCCGAGATCCTCTTTGTCGGACCGTAAGAGCCGCCCCGCGTCGCTCAACAGGCGACCCTACCACTTGCCGCTCATCGGTAGACGCGATGGTATTTCTCACTTGTATATATAGTCTTTCCTGATAAATCCATCGGACGATATTCTATGCGCCTCGGTGGGGGGTTCAGATCCTCCAGAAGCAAGTAGGAGAGGCCTCCAAGACCTGTCCCTTTAGGTGCCCCAGGCGAAGTCGGAAATATTCACCAAACGTTTTCTGTTGGCAGAAACACAATAAGGATTTTTTGTTTTTGTTTTTTTGTGGATGTCGAGATATGGACAAAGACACGAGTTTTATTCTATGGTAATTTGGTTTTAAGTATATATGGTGATATGGTGACACATGTTGGTGGCTGTCTGCTTCTCCCTCAAGCTGTGAGAGATGTTACCATTTTATTGCACATACACACACACACACACACACATACAAAGCATCCTTAAACACAAGTACGCAGTGTTAGTGCACATACATACATACATACATACATACATACATACATACATACATACATACATACATACATACATACATACATACATACATACACATACACGCACTCATCCAAAACATGTACACACAAATATACACACAAATACGAAACACTCAAACCGTGATATACAAAAAGCATGCAGACCAATACACAGCATACACCAGCTCCCCCCCCCCCCACCCTCCCCCACCAACCAGACACCCCCCCCCCTCACCTCACCTAACTGTATCAGTTACCCTCAATAAAACTGTGAATAGCTTCTTGCGTTTTCTTAAAGATAGGTTCCTTCTTTAATTTACCTGAATTTACCTGAGGGCCGCTAACGCTCTAGTGGCCTCGACGTGGACAGGAAGCCACCAGCTTGTCAAAGGTCCCCCATTCGTCTTGATTAAAAAGACGTCTGGCTAATTTATTTCGTGTATACAGGAATTATACAACCCATCCTCCTGTTAAGAGAGTAGCTATTGTGATGGACGTCAATAGTCACGAATGCGTACGTACTTAGCTTTTAGATAGTAGTATACTGACTGGTAAGGAGTTCTTTTAAAATAAATGAAGCTAAAAAACAAACTTACATATTCCTAGGCCTAGTATAGCACACATGTACTATATTAGGCCTCAGATATAGTGTTAGGCCTAGGGGAGGTTAGGTTAGATTAGGTTAGTTTGTCAAAGCAACACAAGTAAAAAAAAATAGTTTTCCATTTTGTCCAACTCAATAGTTCAGATTTCTACTTTTCTAATTTCCTTGTACGTCGGTATATAGACTATGGTCCTCGTCGTTACTATAAGTACTACCACAACAAGAGGATGGGCTGTATTATGCTACACATGTGAGTATACATAAACACTCACAGAAATCACAATAGCGTGATGTATCAAATGAACAAATTCACAAGGGTTCGAATCCTCGTCACGGCCCTTGTGGATTTGTTTATACACAAATATTCCATCCGTGACGCTGAAAATATATGTTTTTACGACCATCTGCAGAGTCGAAATTTATCCGGGAATTTGGGAAACAAAAACAAAAAGAGTAAGAAATTCTGAAGAAAAAAAAACAAACGGTCGTAAATACCAGATGATCATCGGCGGCGGCCGCTCAGCCAATCAGAGAGCGCGGCCAATTTGAATCTACGGATCACGTGACCGTGTGGAAGCAGCCAATCAGGATGAAGCTTAATTATACGGTTACGCAGACGAATAGGATTAGAATTGAGATTTTTTTTTTTAGTTAAGTGGTTTTATTGTGGAATTGGAAATGAAATAGGAAAAATCTTTATATCCTTGAGTGGGATTAGCTGAGCAGGCCACGAGGAGTTTACAACAACTTACTAATTAGTGAATGAGTGGAAATGAAAGAATGTAATGAAACTGTTGTTATCAGAGGAACGTATCTGTGTTCCTAGAGTATATGGCTATACACAGGGAAGAGTATAAGGCTATACACAGACAGGAGTATAAGGCTATACACAGGGAAGAGTATAAGGCTATACACAGACAGGAGTATAAGGCTATACACAGGGAAGAGTATAAGGCTATACACAGACAGGAGTATAAGGCTATACACAGGGAAGAGTATAAGGCTATACACAGACAGGAGTATATGGCTATACACAGGGAAGAGTATAAGGCTGTACACAGGGAAGAGTATAAGGCTATACACAGACAGAAGTATAAGGCTATACACAGACAGGAGTATAAGGCTACACACAGGGAAGAGTATAAGGCTATACACAGACAGGAGTATAAGGCTATACACAGACAGGAGTATAAGGCTATACACAAGCAAGAGTATAAGGCTATACACAGGGAAGAGTATAAGGCTATACACAAGCAAGAGTATAAGGCTATACACAGGGAAGAGTATAAGGCTATACACAGGGAAGAGTATAAGGCTATACACAGGGAAGAGTATAAGGCTATACACAGGGAAGAGCATAAGGCTATACACAAGCAAGAGTATAAGGCTATACACAGGGAAGAGTATAAGGCTATACACAGGGAAGAGTATAAGCCTATACACAAGCAAGAGTATAAGGCTATACACAGGGAAGAGTATAAGGCTATACACAGGGAAGAGTATAAGGCTATACACAGGGAAGAGTATAAGGCTATACACAGGGAAGAGTATAAGGGAAGACAAATAAGAGGGAACCTGGTGATCTGTCATCTATGGAAAGCTAAAATGTTTTGAAGTAAAAGGTTCATTTTGTGTCTGGTTCAGAACCAGAGACGTGGATGGACAGACCCAGAGACGTAGATGGACAGAACCAGACACGTAGATGGACAGAACCAGAGACGTAGATGGACAGAACCAGAGACGTAGATGGACAGAACCAGACACGTAGATGGACAGAACCAGAGACGTAGATGGACAGAACCAGAGACGTAGATGGACAGAACCAGACACGTGGATGGACAGAACCAAACACGTGGATGGACAGAACCAGAGACGTAGATGGACAGAACCAGAGACGTGGATGGACAGAACCAAACACGTGGATGGACAGAACCAGAGACGTAGATGGATAGAACCAGACACGAAGATGGACAGAACCAAACACGTAGATGGACAGAACCAGACACGTGGATGGACAGAACCAGACAAAATATATTGCATAAAAAGGGTAAGTGGGGGAAAATAGATGCAATAAGGGAAAGAAAGAGAGAGGGAAGAGGTAGATACAGGGAGAGGGAAGAGGTATATAAAGGGAGAGGGAAGAGGTAGATAAAGGGAGAGGGAAGAGGTAGATAAAGGGAGATGGAAGAGGTAGATAAAGGGAGATGGAAGAGGTAGATAAATGGAGAGGGAAGAGGTATATAAAGGGAGAGGGAAGAGGTAGATAAAGGGAGAGGGAAGAGGTAGATAAAGGGAGATGGAAGAGGTAGATACAGGGAGAGGGAAGAGGTAGATAGAGGGAGAGGGAAAATGTAGATATAGGGAGGGGGAAGAGGTAGATACAGGGACAGGGAAGAGGTAGATACAGGGCCAGGGAAGAGGTAGATACAGGGAGAGGGAAGAGGTAGATATAGGGAGAGGGAAGAGGTAGATAAAGGGAGATGGAAGAGGTAGATAAAAATGAGAAGGACGAGGTAGATACAGGGAGAGGGAAGAGGTAGATACAGGGAGAGGGAAGAGGTAGATAAGGGGAGAGGGAAGATGTAGATAAGGGGAGAGGGAAGAGGTAGATAAGGGGAGAGGTAGATACAGGGAGAGGGAAGAGGTAGATATGGGTAGAGGGGAGATGGAAGAGGTAGATAAGGGGAGATGGGAGAGGTAGATACAAGGAGAGGGAAGAGGTAGATAAGGGGAGATGGGAGAGGTAGATACAGGGAGAGGGAAGAGGTAGATAAGGGGATAGGTAGATACAGGGAGTGGGAAGAGGTAGATAAGGGGAGAGGTAGATAAGGGGAGAGGTAGATACAGGGAGATGAGAGAGGTAGATACAGGGAGAGGGAAGAGGTAGATAAGGGGAGAGGGGAGAGGTAGATACAGGGAGAGGGAAGAGGTAGATAAGAGGAGAGGGGAGAGGTAGATACAGGGAGAGGGAAGAGGTAGATAAGGGGAGAGGGGAGAGGTAGATACAGGGAGAGGGAAGAGGTAGATAAGAGGAGAGGGGAGAGGTAGATACAGGGAGAGGGAAGAGGTAGATAAGGGGAGAGGTAGATACAGGGAGATGGAAGAGGTAGATAAGGGGAGAGGGGAGAAGTAGATACATGGAGAGGGAAGAGGTAGATAAGGGGAGAGGGGAGAGGTAGATACAGGGAGAGGGAAGAGGTAGATAAGGGGAGAGGTAGATACAGGGAGAGGGAAGAAGTAGATAAGGGGAGAGGTAGATACAGGGAGAGGGAAGAGGGTAGATAAGGGGAGAGGTAGATACAGGGAGAGGGAAGAGGTAGATAAGGGGAGAGGTAGATACAGGGAGAGAGAAGAGGTAGATAAGGGGAGAGGTAGATACAGGGAGAGGGAAGAGGTAGATAAGGGGAGAGGGAAGAGGTAGATAAGGGGAGAGGTAGATACAGGGAGAGGGAAGAGGTAGATAAGGGGAGAGGGGAGAGGTAGATACAGGGAGAGGGAAGAGGTAGATAAGGGGAGAGGGGAGAGGTAGATACAGGGAGAGGGAAGAGGTAGATAAGGGGAGAGGGGAGAGGTAGATACAGGGAGAGGGAAGAGGTAGATAAGGGGAGAGGGGAGAGGTAGATACAGGGAGAGGGAAGAGGTAGATAAGGGGAGAGGGGAGAGGTAGATACAGGGAGAGGGAAGAGGTAGATAAGGGGAGAGGGGAGAGGTAGATACAGGGAGAGGGAAGAGGTAGATAAGGGGAGAGGGGGAGAGGTAGATACAGGGAGAGGGAAGAGGTAGATAAGGGGAGAGGGGAGAGGTAGATACAGGGAGAGGGAGAGAGGTAGATAAGGGGAGAGGGGAAGAGGTAGATACAGGGAGATGGAAGAGGTAGATAAGGGGAGGGGAGGGGAGAGGTAGATACAGGGAGAGGGAAGAGGTAGATAAGGGGGAGAGGTAGATACAGGGAGAGGGAAGAGGTAGATAAGGGGAGAGGGGAGAGGTAGATACAGGGAGAGGGAAGAGGTAGATAAGGGGAGAGGTAGATACAGGGAGAGGGAAGAGGTAGATAAGGGGAGAGGGGAGAGGTAGATACAGGGAGAGGGAAGAGGTAGATAAGGGGAGAGGGGAGAGGTAGATACAGGGAGAGGGAAGAGGTAGAGGTAGATACAGGGAGAGGGAAGAGGTAGATAAGGGGAGAGGGGAGAGGTAGATACAGGGAGATGGGAAGAGGTAGATAAGGGGAGAGGGGAGAGGTAGATACAGGGAGAGGGAAGAGGTAGATAAGGGGAGAGGGGAGAGGTAGATACAGGGAGAGGGAAGAGGTAGATAAGGGGAGAGGGGAGAGGTAGATACAGGGAGAGGGAAGAGGTAGATAAGAGAGGGAAGAGGGGAAGAGGTAGATAAGGGGAGAGGGGAGAGGTAGATACAGGGAGAGGGAAGAGGTAGATAAGGGGAGAGGGGAGAGGTAGATACAGGGAGATGGAAGAGGTAGATAAGGGGAGAGGGGAGAGGTAGATACAGGGAGAGGGAAGAGGTAGATAAGGGGAGAGGTAGATACAGGGAGAGGGAAGAGGTAGATAAGGGGAGAGGGGAGAGGTAGATACAGGGAGAGGGAAGAGGTAGATAAGGGGAGAGGGAGAGGTAGATACAGGGAGAGGGAAGAGGTAGATAAGGGGAGAGGGGAGAGGTAGATACAGGGAGAGGGAAGAGGGTAGATAAGGGGAGAGGGGAGAGGTAGATACAGGGAGAGGGAAGAGGTAGATAAGGGGAGAGGGGAGAGGTAGATACAGGGAGAGGGAAGAGGTAGATAAGGGAGAGGGGAGAGGTAGATACAGGGAGAGGGAAGAGGTAGATAAGGGGAGAGGGGAGAGGTAGATACAGGGAGAGGGGAGAGGTAGATACAGGGAGAGGGGAGAGGTAGATACAGGGAGAGGGAAGAGGTAGATAAGGGGAGAGGGGAGAGGTAGATACAGGGAGAGGGAAGAGGTAGATAAGGGGAGAGGGAAGGGACAAAACATGGAGAAAATCTAGAGAGAAAAGTGTGATTTTTTTAATAAAAAAGTGGTTCGTTAAATGGTATAATTTCTTGACCTTACGATGAGCATGACTTGAGCACGTTCATGCCTCAGCATGCTCATGCCTCAGCATGCTCATGCCTCAGCATGCTCATGCCTCAGCATGCTCATGCCTCAGCATGCTCATGCCTCAGCATGCTCATGCCTCAGCATGCTCATGCCTCAGCGTGCTCATGCCCCAGCATGCTCATGCCCCAGCATGATCATGCCCCTGCATGCTCATGTCACAACATACTCATACCCCAGCACGCTCATGCCCCAGTAGTAGTGCCTCATAGTAGTTAGTTACAGTTGAACTGATTGACAGTTGAGAGGCGGACCCAAAGAGCCAGAGCTCGGCGCCCGCCAGCACCACCAGGAGAGCGCCCCTCACCACGGCGCCACGGACACGGACGCCAACACGGACTAAAGAGGATAGATGGCCACGGCTGGCCGCCCTGCTCCACCCCGTCACGGCTGGACGGCCACACACACACGTGCATCATCGACCCCCACCTGCTGCTAAGGGACGATAAACATGGACCTTATTACCACTATTATTATTCTTATTCCTCCCTCAGTCTCATACCAGATAGGCCTACCGGAAGAGGCTGCATCAAAAATGTTTTGTTTAAGGAACTCGATATGTTAGTCGATATCTCACGCCTCGTCAAGGGTTCGAACCCAAGTTTCTCCAGCTGATGGAACGAGAGGTTGATCAGGGCGCTACGTCGACCCTCAGCGTGTTGAAGAGCGGAGTTAAAAAGTTTTGTTCCAGTTGTTGCGGTGTGTTTACTTACAGGTTGAGTGACGCTGTTCTGTTAAGTTCTGAGGCTAGGTAATGATGATAGAGTTACAAGATACGAGCGAGATGGTGTTGAGATTGCAAAGTCGGATTGCAAAGGGGATCTGGGAGTTATGATTAGTATGAATTTAAAACCAAAAAATCAATGCCTGAATGTTCGTCATAAGGCAAATAGGACACTGGGATTTATTAATCACAGCGTTAGTAACAAGACACCTGGTGTTGTTCTTAAGCTATATCTTGCTCTGGTTAGGCCCCATTTAGATTATGCAGTTTAGTTTTGGTCGCCATATTATAGAATGGATATAAATTCACTTGAACGTGTCCAGCGTAGGATGACAAAGTTAATTGCCCAAATTAGAAATCTTTCATATGAAGAAAGATTAACAGAGCTTAAACTGCATTCACTGGAAAGGTGAAGAGTTAGGGGTGACATGATAGAGGTTTAAGTGGATGAATGGACATAACAAAGGAGATATTAATAGGGTATTAAAAATATCAACACAAGACAACACGAAACAATGGGAATAAATTGGATAAGTTTAGATTTAGGAAAGACTTGGGTAAATACATGTTAGAGGTGTTTGTTTGGGTTTAAACTGTTAATAGATAGTGGTATAGGAATTGATTAAAGAAGGAGGTAATAAAAGTATGTGTTTGTGGGAGAAAGGAATTGGCAAAACGATCAGGGAAAGAGAAGGGCCGCAAAATAACAATTCACTTAGGGTATATTACACTAACAGTAGAAGTCTAAGAAATAAAATAAACGAGTTAAATGCTCTTGTCTTCACATAAAAAATAGATATTATTGCACTTACCGAAACGTGGATGAATGTAGAAAATAGAAAACTATTAGCTGAATATCAAATAAATGTATTTAAACTATTTCACACAGATAGATATATTAGACGAGGCGGGGGAGTAGCCATATATGTTAGGGACAATTTGAAATGTAGTCTCAAAGAGGGAATCAAAACTGAGCCACACATAGAAACTATTTGGATAGAATTAAGCGAAAAAGCAAATAATATTATAATAGGAGTTATATATATAGGCCACCAAATTTAGACAAAATGGAAGCAAATCATCTATGGGATGAAATATCTAGAGCATCTATATCTAACAGTATTTATGTCATGGGTGACTTTAATTTTAGTGGAATAAACTGGTTGAACAAAACAGGGAATAATGAAGCAGAAGATTTTCTAGAATTAATTGACGATTGCTTTCTTACGCAACACATTAAGGAACCCACGTGGAAAAATAAAATTTTAGATTTAGGGAAACAACTAACAGGGAAACACAAATTAAGGACATAGAAATAGGGAGTGAGCTAGGGAACAGTGATCATAAAGAAATCAGATTTAGCATAGAATTGAATAGATCTGTAGGAGAAAATTCTGTTAAAGTGCCTGATTTTCGAAAAGCTGATTTCAATAGCCTAAGAATTTTTTGGGGTTAAATAGATTGGAAAGTCTTGGGTATGGGGTGTGGGCCGGTCTTGGAGTTAGACGTGAACCCAGCGATAGGTGATGTAAAAGGGGTTTTCGATGTGGATTCAAAATATAACCTATTTAAAAATATTCTAAGCAAAGCCCAGGAACGTAGTATACCATATAAATTGAATAGATCGAATACTAATGATCCAAAGTGGATAACAAAGGATCTGAAGAACCTTATAGGTAAAAAGAGAGCGTGGTACAAAAGGATTAAGAATGGGGAAGTCAGTTTAGAACAGGAATTCGTACAACTGGTTAGAAATACTAAAAAAGAGATAAGGAAAGCAAAAAGAAACTTTGAAGTTCTCATAGCAGAGCAAGCAGAGACAAATCCTAAAGAGTTTTTCCAGTTATACAGGACAAAGATTAGGGAAAGGATAGGTCCATTAAAAACTGAGACAGGTCAAATAACAGATAATGATGAAGAGATGAGTAGTATTTTTAATAAATATTTATATCTGTATTTACTAAAGAGGAACTTAACAATATGCCTTCAGCCGAACAAGTCTATGTGGGTGGGGACGAGGACAGGTTGACTAGTTTAGCAATTACCAGGGAGGATGTAATTAAAGATAGAGGCTCATGGTATTGGGGGTGCTATATTCGGCTGGATTAGGGCATGGCTATACCAAAGGAAACTGAGAGTTAGTATAAATGGGTTAAGTCAGAGTGCGAAAATGTTGTAAGTGGAGTGCCTCAAGGCTCTGTCCTGGGACCTCTGTTGTTTATAATATATATAAATGATTTAGATTCAGGTTTGAGTAGCAACATTTGCAAATTTGCCGATGATACAAAAATCGGCAGGGAAATTAACACGGAAGAAGACTCACTATCACTTCAAGTTGATCTAAATAAGGTTTTGAAATGGTCAAAGGATTGGCAGATGCTGTTTAATACTGAAAATGTAAAGTTTTGAGGCTAGGTAATGATGATAGAGTTACAAGATACGAGCTAGATGGTGTTGAGATTGCGAAGTCGGATTGCGAAAGGGATCTGGGAGTCATGATTAGTAAGAATTTAAAACCAAAGGTCAATGCATGAATGTTTGCAATAAGGCAAATATGACACTGGGATTTATTAATCGAAGCGTTAGTAACAAGACACCTAGTGTTGTTCTTCAGCTATATCTTGCTCTGGTTAGGCCCCATTTGGATTATGCAGTTCAGTTTTGGTCGCCGTACTATAGAATGGATATAAATTCACTTGAACGTGTCCAGCGTAGGATGATAAAGTTAATTCCTCAAATTAGAAATCTTTCATATGAAGAAAGATTAACAAAGCTTAAATTGCATTCATTGGAAAGGCGAAGAGCTAGGGGTGACATGATAGAAGTTTACAAGTGGATTACTGGACATAACAAAGGGGATATTAATAGGGTATTAAAAGTATCAACACAAGACAGAACCAGAAACAATGGATATAAATTGGATAAGTTTAGATTTAGGAAATACTTGGGTAAATACTGGTTCGGTAACAGGGTTGTTGATTTGAGGAACCAATTACCGCGTAACGTGGTGGAGGTGGGGTCCCTCGTTTGTTTCAAGCCTAGGTTGGACATGTATATGTGTGGGATTGGGTGGTTATAGATAGAAGCTGCCTAGTATGGGCCAATAGGCCTGCAGTTACCTTTGTTCTTATGTTCTTAGTGACACTGATGACCTCTTGGGCACGGAGGCGGCGAGACACACACGCACGGAGAGGTGAGGGAGGGGGGAGGTGAGGGAGGTGGAAGAGATCAAAACCTTTCAACTGAACACACAAGGGTTTCCTGAAGCTTCTACTGAAGCCGGACCAGGATTTCAAGCCTCAGGAAACCCTTGTGTGTTCAGTAGAACTTCAGGTTGAAGTCCTTATACCATATTGTGATCTCGTCGCTAGAAGCGTGTGCATGGAACACCCACCGCGTAGGTTCGAATCCTCATCACGGCTTCCACGGATTTCCTCATTGATGTAGTCATGTGAGTGTGATTACTCTCTGTGTAGTAGTAGTAGTAACAATAATAATAATCTATATAAATAAAAAATGGAAATGTTCGTTTGTTCAAAATCGCTAATCTCCGAAAGTAGATGCCTCACCTGTGACAGGAAAAACATTTTTTTTTTTTAAGCAGCGCCATCTGTTGCACATAATAGGAACTCACGTTATACTAAATATGTTACGATTCCATTTCCCTGTTTCTGATTGCATTGATAAATTAAATTTTCATCAATTTCGATTTATTTTCATTTTGAAATAATTATTTTGTGTGACATTGCGTTGAAATTGAGCTGTGTTGATTAGCATACTGTTCATTTCGTAGGAATAAGTATAGATGCCGTACCTATGACAGGTAAAATCATTCATTTTTTAAGAAACAGTGCCATCTGTTGCAAGTAAGATCAACACACACTATACTAAATTTGTTACGATTCCATTTCAATGTTTCTGATTGCATTGACAATTTGAATTTTCATAGATTTCCATTGATTTTCATTTTGATTTATTTTTTGTGTGTGACATTGTGTTGGAATTGAGCTGTGTTGTTTACCATACCGTTCATTTCCTGAGTATAGTGTATTTTTGTATTTTTTCATTTTTTTCATTTCGTTTTTTAAACTGTTTTCATATATTTCAGTAATGCAACATCAGATCATTTGATGTTCCAATTTTCTGATGGGAACATCAGATCGTTTGGGAATGCACCGAACGAGGGAGTGGGGAATGTTGGGGAGGACAAGGGGACGAGAGTGGGGGATGGTGGGGAGTACGAGGGGACAGGGGAGGGGGTAATAGTCGGGCGGACGAGGGGACGGGACAGTTGGGAATGGTGGGAACGAGGGGATAGGGGAATGGAGTATGGTGGGAAGGACATGGGGCAGAGGAGTGGGGGGTTGGTAGAAAGGACGAGGGGAGAGGGCGGGAGGGGGGGGGAGTAATGGTAGGGAGGACGAGGGGATGAGGGGGGAGGGGAATTGTTGGGAGGAAGAGGGGACGTGGGAGGGGGAATGGTGGGGAGGACTGGGAGGCAGGGAAAGGTTGCTGTGGCTCCACAACGCACACGCGCTGTGGAGCCACAGCAACGCGTAGCCGGGTACAGCTAGTAATAATAATAATAATAATAATAATAATACACAGATAATATTAATAATAACCTGGCAGGTGGCAGGAGAGCGGCAGGCGGCAGGAGAGTGGCAGGCGGCAGGAGAGTGGCAGGCGGCAGAAGAGTGGCAGGCGGCAGGAGAGTGGCAGGCGGCAGGAGAGTGGCAGGCGGCAGGAGAGTGGCAGGCGGCAGGAGAGTGGCAGGCGGCAGAAGAGTGGCAGGCGGCAGAAGAGTGGCAGGCGGCAGAAGAGTGGCAGGCGGCAGAAGAAGGGCAGGCGGCAGGAGAGTGGCAGGCGGCAGAAGAGTGGCAGGCGGCAGAAGAAGGGCAGGCGGCAGAAGAAGGGCAGGCGGCAGAAGAGTGGCAGGCGGCAGGAGAGTGGCAGGCGGCAGAAGAAGGGCAGGCGGCAGGAGAGTGGCAGGCGGCAGAAGAAGGGCAGGCGGCAGGAGAGTGGCAGGCGGCAGGAGAGTGGCAGGCGGCAGAAGAGTGGCAGGCGGCAGGAGAGTGGCAGGTGGCAGGAGAGTGGCAGGCGGCAGAAGAGTGGCAGGCGGCAGGAGAGTGGCAGGCGGCAGGAGAGTGGCAGGCGGCAGGAGAGTGGCAGGCGGCAGAAGAGTGGCAGGCGGCAGAAAAGTGGCAGGCGGCAGAAGAGTGGCAGGCGGCAGGAGAGTGGCAGGCGGCAGAAGAGTGGCAGGCGGCAGGAGAGCGACAGGCGGCAGGAGAGTGGCAGGCGGCAGAAGAGTGGCAGGCGGCAGGAGAGTGGCAGGCGGCAGGAGAGTGGCAGGCGGCAGGAGAGTGGCAAGCGGCAGAAGAGTGGCAGGCGGCAGGAGAATGGCAGGCGGCAGGAGAGTGGCAGGCGGCAGGAGAGTGGCAGGCGGCAGGAGAGTGGCAGGCGGCAGGAGAGTGGCAGGCGGCAGGGAGAGCGGCAGGCGGCAGGAGAGTGGCAGGCGGCCGGAGAGTGGCAGGCGGCAGGAGAGTGGCAGGCGGCAGGAGAGTGGCAGGCGGCAGGAGAGTGGCAGGCGGCAGGAGAGTGGCAGGCGGCAGGTGAGTGGCAGGCGGCAGAAGAGCGGCAGGTGAGTGGCAGGCGGCAGGAGAGTGGCAGGCGGCCGGAGAGTGGCAGGCGGCAGGAGAGTGGCAGGCGGCAGGAGAGTGGCAGGCGGCAGGAGAGTGGCAGGTGGCAGAAGAGTGGCAGGCGGCAGGAGAGTGGCAGGCGGCAGGAGAGTGGCAGGCGGCAGGATAATGGCAGGCGGCAGGCGGCAGGAGAGCGGCAGGCGGCAGGAGAGTGGCAGGCGGCAGGAGAGTGGCAGGCGGCAGGAGAGTGGCAGGCGGCAGGAGAACGGCAGGCGGCAGGAGAGTGGCAGGCGGCAGGAGAACGGCAGGCGGCAGGAAAACGGCAGGCGGCAGGAAAACGGCATGCGGCAGGAGAACGGCAGGCGGCAGGAGAGTGGCGGTCGGCAGGAGAACGGCAGGCGGCAGAAGAGCGGCAGGCGGCAGGAGAGTGGCAGGCGGCAGGAGAACGGCAGGCGGCAGAAGAGTGGCAGGCGGCAGGAGAACGGCAGGCGGCAGGAGAACGGCAGGCGGCAGGAAAACGGCAGGCGGCAGGAGAGCGGCAGGCGGCAGGAGAGTGGCAGGCGGCAGAAGAGCGGCAGGCGGCAGGAGAGTGGCAGGCGGCAGGAGAGTGGCAGGCGGCCGGAGAGTGGCAGGCGGCAGGAGAGTGGCAGGCGGCAGAAGAACGGCAGGCGGCAGGGGAGTGGCAGGTGGCAGGAGAATGGCAGGAGAGCGGCAGGCGGCAGGAGAGTGGCAGGCGGCAGAAGAGTGGCAGGCGGCAGGAGAGCGGCAGGCGGCAGGAGAGCGGCATGCGGCAGGAGAGTGGCAGGCGGCAGGAAAACGGCAGGCGGCAGGAGAACGGCAGGCGGCAGGAGAGTGGCAGGCGGCAGGAGAGCGGGAGGCAAGCGGCAGGGAAAACGGCAGGCGGCAGGAGAGCGGCAGGCGGCGGCAGGAGAGTGGCAGGCGGCAGGAGAGCGGCAGGCGGCAGGAGAGCGGCAGGCAAGCGGCAGGCGGCAGGAGAGCGGCAGGATCCTGGATCACGACCCTACACCGCTGCCAGACCCTCCTGCCACGCTGAGCGATAATCGTCCAAGCATCTGGAAAACGTGTTGTATAGGTAAGAATGGCATGCCTTTGTGCCTCCAATTAGCATGGTGTTGGCCTGCCGGGGCGGCCTACACCAGAGCAGGCTACGGCAGGCTCTCTCACTTCCTATCTCAGAACCCCTCGGGCTCAATAGGGGGAAAGAGAAAGACCGAAGAGCTGGCCCATTTGGGTGCGGTACAGCGAGCGAAGGTTTGTGGCTTGTGCTGAAGGGGGGAGGTGTGGGGGTGTAGGGGGTCTTCCTGGGGCTTGGGGGGTAGTGGGGGTGGTGGGAAATGCGAGATTGTTTGGTACAATGATGGGTGTTGATGCTCAGGTAATCTGCCAGCAGTGAACATACGTAACACCTCATTTGAATACACTGGAGGCGCCGTCGCCTTCAAGACCGACCGACTTCCACCACATGGAGATAAGCCATACGGCCAGAGCAGGTACACCTAGCGGCTCCTCTTACCCACCCACGTCCTCTCTCTCTCTCTCTCTCTCTCTGGTGATAAAAATCCTCATGTGATGGCTAGGCACGTGCTGCCACCCAGGCCGCCCCGGCACACCGAGACATTCTCAACACCTCACTCGGAATAAAACACGTACCAAAAAAACTCTCGCCTTTAGGATATTTGGGTGAGTGTGGTGCCGCCGCTGCTCCTCCTCCCTGGCCTGCAGCTCAACATGGGTGTCTTCCCTGGTTGACTACATGGTCGAGGAAAAATTAAGCGAGAGCGGGAGTGTAGCAACAAGCGCGCCATGCAGCTGCCTGTCGCCATCTGCCCTCTGGTGGCCGTCTCGACAACCTGGCCGCGGTCCGCGCCACCGCACGAGGCTACAGGTACACTCCGCGAGGTGTACCGCGCTGCTGCTCTCTGTATGTACACTCACAGTAAAGATTTTGTCCACAACTATGCTTAGTTGTGAACACTATTGTGGACAATAGTATACTTGCTGGGTGGTGAGGTGGCGTAAGTAACCCGGTGGTAGAGAGGCCAACAGGCCGACCCAGCACGCTGCACCGGCCCACCTCACATGTGTCATCCTCGCTTAAACCCGGTTTATGTATCACTGAGTCGACACACCCACTCCCTCGCTCGCTCCTCTTCCTCAATAAGTACCTACAATATAATTACAAAATAGCGCATAAACACTTTCCCTTAAAAAAGAGCGCGTAAACTTACCCTTAAACACTTACCCTTAAACAAGAGAGCGTAAACACTTAAAAATTAACATAAGAAACTGTATCGGTGAGGGGCCGTCCTAGTCGATAGCATCAAAACAGAGAACACTGAAGATTATCACTTTTAACCACGTGCAACTTTTAGTATAATATTTCAAGAAATTTGAAACAGAAACCTTCACAAGCCACATGGAACCAGCCGCCGCCGCCGCCGCCAGCTTCACCAACACCCAATTAAAATATCCTAAAAACCCATTACCCGGCCCAGCCTCCTGAAGGTGTGGTATGCTTACAGTAAATGCTCGCGTTACTGTAAGCATACTACCAGTGACGGTCCACCAGAAAGTTGACTTATTATGTATTATTGAAATTTGGACAAAGCTTTTCTTATAACCGCAACATAAACATAAGACAAAAACTCTAAAATTTCCGGACTCTAATATTAATACAAAAAGTGGTTTACTGGTGGTGCGTCACTCCACTCCGGTACTTTCCGCCAAAAATAGGCCGGCAGTTCGTACATTAGACAACCCAGGGTTAAAAGAGGCGGGGCCCAAGAGCTAACAGCTCGATTCTGCCGGCACAACCAGCAAACAAAGAGTAAACACGCACACACTTCCGTTATATTATCTATATATATATCCTTTTTGTGTAATGAAATTTTAAAATAAAGCGAGATATTTATATACACATACAAAAAAGAATACGGGTGGTAGGAAAGGAAAATATCAGTGTTCAGTGAGGATCCACAAGGTCTTCCCCGAGTACTCTATATTTTCTCCTCCGAGGCTATGGGTCCCTACAATTGCACCAGAGGTACCCCTTTTTGGTATTTATATATATATATATATATATATATATATATATATATATATATATATAGATATATATATATATATATATATATATATATATATATATATATATATATATATATATATATACCTAATATGTTACATATTAGTATATAATGTCGTACCTAGTAGCCAGAACTCACTTCTCAGCCTCCTATGCCCGGTCCAATTTGCCAAATAGGACGAGTAATTTTTTTTTATTTAAAACACATTGTTTCCAGTTGGTTTATTTGAATTATTATTGTTATATTAGGAACATAAATTATGGAGTTAGTTATATTAGTTTAGGTTAGGTTAGGTAGGGGTAGGTTAGGTTAGGTTAGGTTAGGTAGGGGTAGGTAGGGGTAGGTTAGGTTAGGTTAGGTAGGGGTAGGTAGGGGTAGGTTAGGTTAGGTTAGGTTAGGTTAGGTAGGGGTAGGTTAGGTTAGGTTAGGTTAGGTTAGGTTAGGTAGGGGTAGGTTAGGTTAGGTTAGGTTAGGTAGGGGTAGGTTAGGTTAGGTTAGGTTAGGTTAGGTAGGGGTAGGTAGGGGTAGGGTTAGGTTAGGTTAGGTTAGGTTAGGTAGGGGTAGGTTAGGTTAGGTTAGGTTAGGTTAGGTTAGGTAGGGGTAGGTTAGGTTAGGTTAGGTTAGGTAGGGGTAGGTTAGGTTAGGTTAGGTAGGGGTAGGTTAGGTTCGGTCATATATCTACGTTAGTTTTATATCAAATTAAAAAAATGAACTCATACATATTGAAATGGATAATTTTCTTTATTTTCCAGAAAATATTTCCAATTGGTTTATTTCAATTATTATGATATTATATTAGGAACATAAAATATTACCTTAGTTATATTAGTTTAGGTTAGGTTAGGTTGGTTAGGTTAGGTTAGGTTAGGTTCGGTTATATATCTACGTCAGTTTTAACTCAAATTAAAAATTGTTAAATCATACATAAGGAAATGGATAGATTTATCATTTCATAAGAAAAAATTTTGAAAAATATATAAATTCAGGAAAACTGGCTAATTAGGCAAATCGCTCCTTGCATAGTATTCCAAGTATTGCATTCTGGTTACTAGATACAACATATTGTATATATAATATATATATATATATATATATATATATATATATATATATATATAATATATATTTATGTCGTACCTAGTAGCCAGAACGCACTTTTCAGCCTACTATGCAAGGCCCGATTTGCCTAATAAGCCAAGTTTTCATGAATTAATTGTTTTTCGACTACCTAACCTACCTAACCTAATCTAACCTAACCTAACTTTTTCGGCTTCGTAACCTAACCTAACCTATAAAGATAGGTTAGGTTAGGTAGGGTTGGTTAAGTTCGGCCATATATCTACGTTAATTTTAACTCCAATAAAAAAAAATTGACCTCATACATAATGAAATGGGTAGCTTTATCATTTCATAAGAAAAAAATTAGAGAAAATATATTAATTCATGAAAACTTGGCTTATTAGGCAAATCGGGCCTTGCATAGAAGGCTGAGAAGTGCGTTCTGGCTACTAGGTACGACATTTATATATATATATATATATATATATATATATATATATATATATATATATATATATATATATATATATATATATATATGAGAATCAAAATAATAATTACTGTATTTGATATATTGTTGGACCCCCTAAAAAAAAGAAGTCACATTTTGTGCCATAATTTTTACATGCTCCTGGGGGAAATACAAACTTAAAAATTGTTATGTATTTCTAAGATTAGTATAGCACATACATGTACTAAATTAGAAGTAAGAGAGCGTGTATTAGGCCAAAGATTTCTTGGACAGGTCAGGTCAGGTTCCTAAGAGTTCCAGTTCTAGAATGCCATTTGGACTTGTTCAGTAATGCTAAACGTTGACTTTTGATGGGACCATCAACACATGTTGGTGCGTTGGACGTAATAGTGTCTATATGTACTATCTTCTTAAGACTTAGCTGATTCACGAATTATTCATCTTAAGATTCATCTTAAGATTTATACTGATTCCCTGTTACAGACCAGTAACATATCAGTAACATATCAGTAACACACCAGTAACACACCAGTAACACACCAGTAACATATCAGTAACACACCAGTAACACACCAGTAACATATCAGTAACACACCAGTAACATATCAGTAACACACCAGTAACATATCAGTAACACACCAGTAACACACCAGTAACACATCAGTAACGCACCAGTAACATATCAGTAACGCACCAGTAACATATCAGTAACACACCAGTAACACACCAGTAACATATCAGTAACACACCAGTAACATATCAGTAACACACCAGTAACACATCAGTAACATATCAGTAACACACCAGTAACACATCAGTAACATATCAGTAACACACCAGTAACACATCAGTAACATATCAGTAACACACCAGTAACTCACCAGTAACATATCAGTAACACACCAGTAACTCACCAGTAACATATCAGTAACATATCAGTAACACACCAGTAACACACCAGTAACACACCAGTAACATATCAGTAACACACCAGTAACATATCAGTAACACACAAGTAACGCATCAGTAACACACCAGTAACATATCAGTAACACACTAGTAACATATCAGTAACACACAAGTAACACATCAGTAACATATCAGTAACACACCAGTAACTCACCAGTAACATATCAGTAACACACCAGTAACACACCAGTAACATATCGGTAACACATCAGTAACACATCAGTAACATATCAGAAACACCAGTAACACATCAGTAACATATCAGTAACACACCAGTAACATACCAGCAGTATGATATATAGAATGATTACATCCTAGACATTACTAGCATGATAGTGACTCACCATGACACTAGCATGATAGTGACTCACCATGACACTATCATGCTACTCACCATTACTATCCAGAGTGATTAATTATCTAACAGGAGAATCACAACAAACATGCGCTGAGT